TTCTGTTTTTAAGTCCTCTGTGTATATTCCATTACGCAGAATTTGTATAAAGAGCTGAAATTGAATACAGTTAGCTCTCCTATCTGCCAATTCCACAACCATGAATTCAACCAACTATGGAGAAAAAAATTGTGTCTGTGCTAAGCATGTACAGAATTGTTCTTGTCATTATTCCATAAACAACGCAGAATAACAACTATTTCCACAGCAATTACATTGCAACTAGGCAGGAAATGATTTAAATCATAAGGGAGGATGTGTGTATGTGTATGCTGTATGTAAATACCATGCCATTATATATAAGAACTGGAGCATCGTGGGTCTTGGTATGCACAGGGCATAGGGTAGTGAGGGAGGGGATGCTGGAACCAATCCCCGCGTGGATACTGAGGCAAAACTGTATATAGGAAAGTAATTAATCACTCTCCCACACAAGCTCCTCCTGGCTTTCTCTTGCACATTATTGCGCTCACACCTTAATAGGTGTAAATCTTTGGAGTTTGCCTGCTGAAGCTTCTAGAGAATCTGCTGCTTCTCTCTCCAATTCATTCTATCCTGTACATGCTGATGGTCACTGCCCTAGTGCAGTCCTTGTTCTGTCTTTTAGTCTCTTTTTATATTTGTTTTCCAATCAGTATCCTGCTTTCCTTTTCTTGCTCTTTACTCAGTTCTGTATTTCCATACATTCAATTTCATGCATTTTCTCAACTTTCTCCACCTGATGTTTGAAGCAATGAAGACTAAGATGTCAGTATGACAGAAGAAAAGGGAAGATAAAGGAAATCTTGAGAGGATACTGTATGTTGATTATAATCAGAGGTTCAATTTAGAAAGATTGGGATAAGGTATGGTGACTCAAACTACAGTAAGAAGCTTGTCAGAATATGCATGCATTCAGAATCCAGGGATCAGCCCCCTGATGGCCGCACTCTGGTAAAAAGGAAAAATAGTTTGGAATGACTTTCCATTTTCTCTCTGAGGGATGGTCCTCTTCCTATTCTCCTACCTGATCCATCCTTCATACACTTGCAGACTGTCTCTGTTCATTCAAATTTCATTTTAAGCCAGTTCTTTCTGGAGGTCTACCATGCTTGCACAATTTAAAGTGCCCTTCCTCCTCCATCTCTCCAGCCATTACACCCTATTTGTTCTCTTCATTTGTTAGTTACCTTGTTACTCTTTCTCCCCTTAGCACTCATTCCCGCTCCTAAGTGTAATGCAAACTGCTTAAACAAAAGGACCTTGACATTTTTACTTATATGTGTATCTTCAAGTTCTAAAACAGCATAGGGCAGGAGTATAATAAAAATTTGTTGAATAATAAACAAATGGAGGAAACACATATAGAAAATAACACAGTATTTCAAGGATTTATTCTCAACATAGGCTGAGAGGTAGATGTTCTAGAGTGGGATAAGATAGGTCAAAAGTTTCAAGGGGGCACTTGTTGGAGATTTTGGATTTGTCCCATGCCTGATATTTTTGCCAAGTAGCTAGATAAAGTGAGAAGTTTATTTATAGCAAGCCTTAACTGTATATTATTATCATCACAAGAAAGTCTGAACACACAAATACAGGTAAACTATCCATCTCAGATGATAAGAAAGTGGGATGTGGAGGGGGTGGATGACTGTTATTTTTCTAATTATAAAAATGCATCCCACTTTATCTTTTGAGAGGAGAAAGTGGATAGTTATGTAAGGGAGGTGGTATCAGTAATCACCTGGGAATGCCAATGTTATGAGTGTGGGAATACTTCAAGTTGCAATGAACACTAAATTTGAGACCTTGAAATAATTAAATTTGTTCTGGTAGGAGTAACGAAATGTGTCTGGAGTGACCTGTAGGGCAGCTGTGAGCAATGCAGGTGTTAAGTTTCAAACCAGAGAGCTACCTTAAAGATCATTTACAGAAGTTTGTATAATTTACAGAGAATGATTTGAGACCAAGAAACATTCATTAACTCACTCAAGATCGAACAAGAGAGAGAAACCAGGACTGAATGCAGCATCTCCCAAAACCTAAGGAGGAAGCCAGGGGACTCTCCACAGTTCACTCTGAAGGGACATCAGTGTGAATGCTGAAAACTTACTTTTACCTAAGATTTCATTTTGTAAAAATTTTTAAATTTTGTTTATTTTCAATGTTGTTTTTCTATTTTTAGCCACACTTCTAAGAAACTAATATCAAAATGTTTATATATAAGAGGTCTAAAATTAGGAGGTGGAAAAGTGTTTTTATTTATGTTACATTTTTATATCTTAATTTCAAAAACCTACTTTCTAGGTCTTTGTGGTTTTCTCTGAAAAAAAAATGAAATATGGAAAGTATTTGCTAAATATATTTTTATTTAATGGAAATTTTGTTGTCTAAAATGAAATGAAAAGGGAATTGGTATAAAATAGAAGCCTATGTAGGTTAGATTATTTTTTTTAAGGGCTAAATTTGGACTTGATGTTGACTCACAAAAAGCAGATCATGCAATGTCCATTGTGTGTGTTTGAACTCTGTGAACATGAACAAATGTGTTTGGTGCTGCAATGGCTTTTCATGGGTTCAGCCCACATTGTTCCCTGCACTTAAGTCATAGCTTACATTCTATGCCGATGGCCATCAATGCCTGGGACATTTTAACCTATATAGAGTAATATGGTTTGCAATACTTCTTGACCTTCGTGTTTTAAAATTTCATATAAATCATGATTGGCTCAGTACTGATTTCTCACCAGACCCAGAACACACAGGTTTATGAACTTTAAAGGATCATTTGGCTAGTTCTCAAATTTAGAAAATTACTCTTGCGATCTCTCGTTATTTTTACACCTTTTAAAAAATTTTTCTGAGTTATTTTATGTTTTTTAAGGAAAAGATCAGAAATTTCCATGACAACTAAAGTAAAGAAATTTTCACTGACTTTTCTAAACTTGCACATCTCCCATGGATTTCCTCTATTTCTCACTCTTATCCCAAAGAACTCTTAGAAGGTGGTATTGCTCTAAAATCCAATGTAAATTAAGATGTAGACTTTGCCTAAGTCACAATGGAGCACAAATTGGGTGCACACATAGCATGAGAATTCTGTTAAATCATGTCCTAAAAAAAAAAAAAACAATTAAAGGGCGAGGATTGTGGCTCAGTGGTATAACGCTTGCCTAGCATATGTGAGGCACTGGGTTCGATCCTCAGGACCACATACCAAGAAATAAAATAAAATAATTCATTAACAACGAATAAAAATGTTTAAAAAAACAAGTAAAACAAATATGATCTATCCATTAATGTGCTTTAAAAAGTGACTCCATTTTCTTCGTGTTGATAAATAGTTGGATAAAAGACAAGGTTCAAAGTCAAAATGATTTCCCAAATAGCTACATATGTTTTTTCCACAATTTTCCCAGTTGGAGAGCTGTATTTATTATTCTACATCTCTACACATTTTAAGCGTTATCTACCACATTACTTTGAATGCCTCATATAACTTAACTAATGACAGGTACTTGTCATTCCCGTATGGGAAATTAAGGCCCACAGAGGTTATGTGACTTAACTAAGAGCATACAACTATGGAGGCCATATGTGTCTTTCTTTATAGCTCTATTCTTGACTCCTGTTATAAAATTGTTCTGTAATTCTTTGAATGGCTTCCAAATAAGAAGATAATCAAAATCTGAAAATATGAGAGACTTTGACAGTCTAATCAGAAGACTTAAAGATAAAAGTGATATCCTGAGTATTTCAATTATTCTCCAGGAACCTCCCTCCATATTAAGGCTCAGAAGTGATTCCTCAGTCATCTTTTGGTGTTTGCCTGCTCCAGATGCCTTCATAGGACAGTTGGGGAATGTTCACCATGATCCCTTTCAAGACCACCTACTGTTCTACCATTAGATTTAAATCCTACCTGGCTTGTGTGTTTCGTTTAACTGCTTCTAAATCATAAATTGATGTCAACACTGTTTTGCTTCCAAAAATACATCATGCAGTACCTCTTCTAAAAAGGTAACTATAATTTACCAACCACAATTCAAAACAGAATTACCTTATACTCCTTGATTTTAGAGAACTTAAATAATCCAACATGACTATTTTCACTGTTTGGGGGTTTTTCCAAAGATAGCTGTATTTTAAATGCTATAAATCATCATTGTTTTTCATCATCATTTAAATGGAAAAATCATCATAATTTTTCTGGGGCTCCCTGGGTCTCTTTCAAGAATGTCTATCTTAGGAAAGTGCTAATGATCAAATTCAAACTCTCTCCCATGATGTTTAACATACACTATCTCCAGTGTTGATACTGATACTTTCTCTTTCCTGGGTCCTAATAATTCCCCCGATAGCATAGATTTGTGATAAAGCAAAAATGCATGCTTACTGTGGACACATAGGAGAATGTCCACAATGACAGACAAGTGAGTGTGATGTTTCCCTCCTGTAACTACTTATTCTTTCCTTTGTTCCTCCTTAAGCTTATTCTGGTCCTTCCACCCAAAGACACTAATGGTTTTGATAAAGGCATAAGACTTCGAAGTTCTCTTGAGAGTATATATGATTTCATTTTTAAAGACCCCCTTGAAGAGTTATATAAGAGATATGCAATGCATATTTATAGCATAATTAGGAACAGTTCATCACTTAATGACTGGCTTTATGTACTATATCCACAACTATCTGACAGCTATTTGGTTTTTAAGATTTACATCTTCTTTTTGTTAATACAATAGATATTTTGTGTGCCAATTTCTTTGATTCAAAGAAAGTTGTGCATAGTGGTAGAACAGCTTTTGAAAGAAAGAAAATTTACATCTTGTTAGGAGATATGATACTGTATATTGGCCTAAGATCTATGCAAGGTGTGCTATTTCCATTTAGCATTTGCTTATCCTCAGAAATGAGATGGTTCATTTCAATTCCATTACATGACTATCTTCAAGCACCATTTATATTTATTTTAAGAGAGGTCCCCAAAAAGTCAAACCTGGACAATGATATCCTGAATTGCACCAGCACAATTTAATACAATACGTTTACATTTAAAACATTTACATGTATAGTTGCAAATCTTATTTTAAGCATAACTATATATAATATTTTGACAGACAAAAATATATGATTTAGAACCATTATATGCATCTGTCTGTTCAGTAGCAAACTTATAATAAATTATACATTATAGCAAACATAATAAATTATATATTATACCAGAGTAAATATTTTGAAAGCTAAAAAGGAAAAATTCATAATTCATGTTTAAAATATATTGCTAATTCATTATTTTCAAATAAAAAAGCCAATAGCCATTACATCAAATTTAATTGTTTCAAGCTTACATTCATTTGATATTCACATAAAATTCATGACTTGTAAGTGTAGCAATGAAGTTTAATTTTTGACACTGAGTATTTGAAAGCTTGTTTTTTATATATCAGTCCAGCAACAAGCTTGATGTTTTGAATGTGGGTTGGGGAAAAAAGCATTAAAATTACCCAAGAAACATGTTACAATCAGTGCAAAATATGAAAATGTGTTTTATTCTAATGCTTTAGCCACAGGTATTGCCTCCAAAGGTTAATATAGTTGGTGTCTAATATGTTCTGGGTAATTTATTTTCATTGAGGATGAAGTTTGAAGGTACACTGAATGAGGCTGGAAAAATTCAACACCATCTACATTACCCATGATGACAAAACAGAGCTGGCCTCCTCCATCTTCCTTGGAAATTGAAGGGGAGTTTATGCCTGAATGTTCAGATAAATAAAGATCTTGAGATTGTTTCATTCCTTTTGACATTTTGGCACTTTAAAAATCACTTGCTAATATTTAGTGCATTTATAAATCTGAAAATGCATTAGTTTTTTATATACCTAGTTTGAGAACAGATGGGAAATAATGGATTAAATGAAAGTCCATTATCTTTTAACTTAAATTATTTAACTGGTTTTAATAGTTGGACAGGTTAAACCTTGTATTTCCCTGTATCTTTCTATTTTTACAAAATGAATTAAATGGGAAGAAATTTTAATATTAGTTATTTTTTCACAGAATTTAAATATGGTTGTTAGAACAATTGTTACTCAAGAAAATTGTTAAAAGCAATGTCTGTGGAGAGTATGCCCTCCTGTTGAAGGCTACAGTGTACATGATGTGCTTCCTGATGCTAATAGTGTATACCTGTGCCTCCATGAGCTGAGATGAATGTTTCAGTGATGGAATGGACAGAGTTGCTATTTGGGTACATGGTACATGTGGAATACCAGTTTTCCAGGATCTGTAGTCCCCATTAGTCAATACTTTTACATGTCATATGTTTTTATCTGTTTTTTTCTCTAATCAATTTCCTTTCCCTGGCTCTCTTCTCAATCATGTCTCAGTATCTTGGATTCCTGTACTCAGTTTCCAAAAGTATACCCCTCACAAGTACTCCACAGTACTGAGTAGATCCTCAAAAAATACATGAATAAAAAATTATCTTCATTTAGGTATATATGGTTTTCAATAAAAAATTTTGAACGCATTGTCATATTTATCATCATGTTTCAATAAAGCACTGTAAATATATAGGACATGACAATATGTAAAATGATTTCATTTCACATTTAACAAACTACCTTGGGAATTTAACTTGTTTTTATAATGAAGAAAATATTTGTTTTGAGATAATTCTAATTGAAACCTAAAAAAATAAAATCTATTCTATTCATTGTACAGACTTAATGCCAGACATGGAGTTAACAGCATTTTGCTTATGAATCACAAAAAGGAATGTTTTTTGAAAAAAAAATGCTTCTGTTTCAAAATTCAGACTAGCTTTCTTTATTGAGTAGAATTCCCAGAATATTTTTCAGCTCATAAATTTACTCTGATTTTGTCAATACAGCTCCAGTTATTTCAGTAATGTATGATTGGTGGTCAAAGAATTTATAATTCTATAATGGATAAAAACCATTATATATATAGATATAGTATATGTATTTTAACTCCAGAAAAGGAGTGAAATAATAATGACTGACCTCATGAAAACTATGTACACATCAAGTGTTAAAATTGATGGCTTCTTCCTTTTAGAACTTATTTTTACTTTTCACTTTTGCTCACATTTTAAAATTCAATGTGAAATTTATGTCCAATATCTAAACCTGGTTTATGCAAAAAAGTGCCACAGAGCAGATCCCTTAATACTAGGTCACCTCATTAATGAATATAAAACAGTAAGTGTGATTTGTTTTTCCAATTTTACTATGAGGAGGTGCTTTGGGAACTTCTGTTAATATATGTTGATCTATAGTCTGTCTCTCATCAACCATAATGGTATTGCGTAGCTACTGCTCATTACCCATGGCCCATTTTCACTTCCAATCCTGATTTGAATAGTTACCCAAAATACTATTTCTTTTATCATGCAACAAAACTGTATATACTTCAGTTGAAGATAAAAATGTATCTTTTATCTCTTCATATCACTTTTTGTTTAATGTCCTTCTTGATTTATTGCTGTAAATTCGCCTAATAATTTTGCTATGCTCCAAGTATTATTATCTACACACATGCTAGTTATGGATGTACTCAAAGGATCCCAGTGTTCTTTTGCCAAAATTATCTCTCTTTTCTATCATCTTGCACATAAAAAAAAGTGCCACTATGAAATAATTTTTGTGTGTTTGCTTTGCCTGTGCTCAGAAAAATACATGCCATTACTCAAAGAATGACAGATTACAGGGCTGAGTGTGTAGTTTAGCAGCAGAGAACTTGCCTAGATGCTCAAGACGTTGGGTTGGATCCCCTGCGCTAGAGGCCGGGAGTGGAGATTGCATATTCAGCAAATGTTTCAGTGCAGACCACGAAAGAAGGGGTTAATCATCATATCAAGAAAAATCAACTGATTAACTCATTACATCATTCATCAGAGTAGCTGTGAGTTATTCTCAGAGCCTCAGTCTGACAATCTGACTCACCAGTGCATTAACACTGGTCATTAAAAAGTGCATTAACAAAGTTTGGATCAAAATCATCCAATTTCCTTTCTTAGGCTCTTTCATCTGCACACTATTTTTCCATAAAAATGATACACAATTGGGCCATCTTTTCTTTGGGGCATTTTCATTTTTATATTCCTAACAAAACTATCTAGTGTCAAAATAGAAACTACTAAGGATGAGAAATAAAATGAAATTAAAAAATAAAATAAAATTCATAGCTGCTTCCTTCTAGCTTAGTCTGTATTTGTGCAATTGCACATTACTTTTCCTGAATCCCTCCTTTAGTACATATTCATATTTTTTGCAAGGAATTTGTTCTCTTGAACGTTGTTTATAATTTTAATATGTATTATATGTGCCATGAACCATCTTTCCAGGACTATCCTACTATAGTGCTCTGTTTGCAAAAGCAGTATTTTATTTAGATGGTGTCATTGTAAATTATCTTCAGTCCCAGAGCCTTCTGGACTGGAATCGATGTCAAGAAGGGCCTCTTTATTGGTGAAAGTTGAGCTGAGAGTTATGCTCTGTCGAGGCTTCACAGGTGCAAGTTCATTTAATTTAATATTTTCATTTTTGACCAGAATTGTCTTATCCATGTTTTCTTCACTGTGCCTTGCAACAACAGCATCAAATACATCTAATTTGGGTGGCAAGGTTCCACTTTCAAATAGGTATTTGGTTAGATAAGAGATACCGATGTTAGCTAGGAATGAGGTAACCATCGCAAGTGTTTTAAATGGGAATCTCTGGTTATAGATACCGTTCTTATCAGAGTAATAACCAGGGTAGAAGATCAAGGGCTGCAGGTACAAGTATGGCTCCCCTCCAGTGATTCTCAGGAAAAGCCCAGAAATGTAACCTGCCACGGCCCCGTACGTGTTGGTCCCCTTGACGAAGAGCACACAGAGCAGCTGTGGGAAGATGATGATGTAGACAAGGTCAGAGCTCAGGTACCAGAGCCCATACACGGTCTTCGTCAGCAAGGCCATGGCTGTTGCAGATGCTCCAAACACAAACACAGTGATTCGCATGACCCAAACAATTTCTTTGTCTGATGCCTGTAAGAAATTGACGATGATCAGCATTGCACCAATATGTGGACTCATGTTGGTGAAGATCAGGATGCATCTTTATTTACCCTTTACAACTTGTCTAAAGAATCTCCCAGGGCAAATGATTTTCTCTGTGGGCAAACCCAACCTAACCTACAACACCTGAAGCTCACAATCTTGATGAACTCCCAGGTCGTTGGTGGAGTGGGGCTTCTGGGTACCATATGCATGAAACTAGATCACCACATCCTTTGCCTGAAGGCACAGGGGAAGAAGATGAGCTAATGTGATATCATCCAGGGACAATGGGGCAAGGGAGAATTTTGCTTATATATTTTCATGAATAGTCTTCATGTGGCACTGAGAGAGCTGTGACTATCCTTACTTCCTCTCTTTGTCGGAGTACTACCCTATATAAGACTAACCACCTTCTGGTGCCACACAAAAGGACTTTTCCATGACATTTTCTTGTTAAAACCACTGGGACTACTTTGTAATGATGACCTAAAAACACAAAGAGACCAAGCTCAGTAGGGAAGAAAGGCTCTCCCGAGGTGTTCTTGATCCCTCAGGGACTACAAAAGCCTTCTGTTCTACAACCACTTGATTCAGTAAAGAAAATTAAATCGAGGGGATATTTTATGACAAAGGTAGACTTGGGAGTCTAAATGAAGAGCAGTTCAGAGTTTACACAAATATGCATAAAATAACTTAGAGTGTCCTGCTTTTACCAGTGTTTTTCCGTCTCCTACTGTGCTTAATCAGACTAAATGGTTTGCTAAGATATTTTAAGATGCAGTAATCTTTTGTCAGAAGACAAGAAATTTAATTATGGCAACATGATGAAATATCTTGGAAAATAGTTATATTGATTCGTTCCTTTAAGTATAACATGAATGATAGGGCTGGGGTTGTGGCTCAGCGGTAGAGAACTCGTCTAGCACATGAGAAGCCCTGGGTTCAATCCTCAGCACCACATAAAAATAAATAAACAAAATAAAGGTGTTTTGTACACCTAAAAAATAAATATTAAAAAAAAAACATGAATGATAAAATGTATTGTTAATATGCATTTTCAGCACATGTAAGCTCAGTGTCATTTAAACTAGTATACCTAATCAAAGTTTACAGAATATAGAATTACAGAAAATGGAATTAATATAGGATATGAACACATACATACAGATTAAACATTCCTTATCTAAAATGCCTAGTATTAGTAATGGATTTCATATATTTTTGGATTTTGGAATATCCACTTATATAATGAAAGATCTTTGGGATGGGGTCCAAGTTTAAAAAAGAAATTAATTTAGGTTTCATATACACCTTATGCACATAGACTGACATGCAGAATTTTTAATAATTTTGTGTATAAAATTTTCATAGTGTGAAATTTCTTGCTTGTAACAACATATCAGTTATCAAAAAGTTTTAGATTCTGGAGCATTTCAAATTTAACATTTTGGATTAGGAATGCTGAATCTGAACTTGATAGGGTAAGATAACTTGAAGTACAGGTCTGTCTTCGAATGTGTAGCTTTTTTACTGCTTAGTTACAGCACAGGTTGAATATAAGGAATCTATAAGCATACATATTCTACAAACATTAAGTACAATGACAGCAGAAATAGCAACGATAATAATAAATTACAAATTAAAAGAAAAAAGTGTCCTTACATTTTGTCTGAAGGAAAGCTGGTAGATGTTCCGAGCAAACATTGAACTTGCTGACAAGATGGAAGAATCAGCTGAAGACATAACAGCAGCAGACACAGCACCAAGGCCAAAGAAAGAAATGTACACAGGGCAGAGATACTGCAAAACAATTGGTAAAATCATGTCTGCTTCTTCATTCGTCTTGGGATCTGGAAGCCCATATGCAGTCTGGTTCCAGTCTGTTGAGCAGAAACCACAAGCGTAACAACCAGAGGCATATCTTCTCTACCCATCTGGGTCATGCTGTTTACTAGGTAGTTTTGAAACCAACTGAGCATCACATACGTTAGCCTGCTTAAGTGGAAAGTCCATGTGATGGCCATGTGGAAATGTCTTACATGTTCTGACCTCTAAAGGGTATTGATTACCGTCAGTCTCATTCATAACATCTGTTTAGAATATGATGATGACATACATACTCCTTTTCTGCAATGTGGCATTATATTACATAGAATCATAGAAAACAAATGCTCTTAGACTGAACCACAGAATTTTCTCTGGACCACTTCCTTAGGCCTAGTTATCTGTGTGCAAGAGACCACAGCATGGCTGTTGTTACCTCTCATTTTTCCTGAATATAAGCTTAATTTAGGAGCCATCTTGGCACAATTTTTCTAATTTCATTTAATCTTGTGTAGAATTTTACTTACAAGAAGCAGGAGACTTGCTAGATTAAGAACTGACCATCTTTACTGAATAAAAATTATACTCATAAAACTGAGATTTTTTCAGGAGGATTTTGAACTAAGGTCTTTGAATTAAGTTAAGAGGACTGAAGCATATGTTTATCTTAGAATATGTAGCTTCTTTATTGCTTACTGTGTTGAAGAACGCAAGGAACCTGTAAACACATATTAATATAATTCCTTTTTTATTTGCTGAACTTCCTTAATGTCAGAATGATAGGGTGGTTTCCTTTGGATCCTGCTACTTTTCCTTTCCCCATTTTCCATTATGATCAACATTAAAGCCATGCTGAAGCGATGCCAACTCTAAAGCCTGAACAGAGATGAAATGATCCCAGAAATAACTGCTAAGTTACACTGAATCCAGAAAAAAAAAAATGCCTTTATGCTGTTTTAATCAGTCTGTTTTCCTACCACCCTCCAAATAATCTCCAGATCTGTCTTCTGCTTGTGAAATAAATCCTGTTTTTTTTTTAATTTTCCACCCCCCAAAAGGCAGACACTGCACATCTTTTTTATCTTTTTGAATGTTCATTTATGTCATGAACCAACAACTGGAATGAAAAGAGTATTCTCTGAACCATGACTGCTCTTTCAAAAACTGAATAATCCAACAAATAGCTCTTGAATTAGAAATCAGAGTCACCATGGGGGCAACACCCTGGGTCATCTTTAAAAAATACAATGAGATAAAAGAAAAATTGTTTTTTAACTGTTTTATTTATCTCTACTTAGGTTACTCTTTTGAATTGGGTTAATGTGATGTGTTTTAAATGCTCTTAAGAGTTGTATTGCGATCACATTTAGAATAGTCATACTCTAAAGTATGGAAAACACTGAACATGCCAAAAATTTCCATTGCTATCATTATGTTAGTTAAGGTCTGAAGTTTATGCCCTCCTAGTTTATTTCATTTCTAATCCCAAAGAGTTGAAATTAGGTATTACAGGACCTTGACGGAAGAGTGGGTCATGAAGGCAGAGCCTTCCTGCATGTGATCAATATGCTTATGAAAGAGGCCCAAAGGAGCTTGTTTTTCTCTTCCACCGTATAAGGAACATAAGGATGCGGAGCGATTAAGTTCAAATTAAAGGTGAGAGTTTAAAAGTGTTTCACATAAGGGATAACAGGGGAAAAAAAAACATTTCTTATTGTGTTCTATCTCTCTCTCTCCCTTTCTCTTTTACCATTTAGTTTCTTAGCTTACCTTAATCCATACACATACTCACTTATTTCTCCAAGGGAAAAAAAATAACCTTGAACAAACTATTGAAATCATAGGTAGACTCTGAAGTTCAGAGTGGTCTGTGGGTAGTCATGACGAAGACAGGTAAATTTTTCTTAAGCTGGTGCCTCTCAACTTTGGCTTAGCTTTGACTCACCAGGGGGGCTATTACACACACACATACACACTCACTCACACACACACACACACACATACTAGTGTTTGGCTCTATCTTTGATTATTAAACACCCTGTGGAGTAGGCCAGGGGCAGATGTTTTGTAGAAAGTCCCTCTCCACTCCTCAGGTGAGGTCACTGTGCACCATGGTTGAGAACCACTGGGGACGGAAGTGGATACAATAGATAATATAGCAAAATTGGGGAGGAGGTGTACTTATGAATGTTTGTCAATGGAGTAAGCAATCAAAAAACGTGGAGATGGCTGAACTATAACACAATTTGCCGAATGCTATACAAGGCATATAAGGAACTATGAATGAAGATACATTTACTATGTGGGGGTAAGAGGGAAGTAAAACAGGGAAGGCCACCAGTGGTGGAACTGGCAAATTAAGTGACAACGATGGTGAAGCTCCAAGAGATTTACCTGTTGATGCTCCAATGGCCCCGATGAGTATGGCTGGCAGAGCCATCACCAGGCACCCAAAAGCTGCCAAGAAGGACAGCACTTGAGCGTAGGTGGCTGAGGATGAAGAGAGGACTCTCTGGAAGTATGCCTGCCATGGGATTCCACCCAGAATCTGCATGAGAACCCCAAAGATTCAGAGTGAATTGAAGGAATTTCACATTTATTAATATTTTTAAACAAGAGGTTTATAATAATTGGATTTAGAATAGTCAGAAGTAGGGCCAGGAATCTCAGTTGCTGTGATTATGTTTGTTGTAATATGAAGTTTGTATGGTGCATGTGTCTATTGAAATTCTAATCTCCAAGGTGATGAAATCAGGTACTAGACAGGGATTTGATTATTAGGTAAAGCCCTGGGAATTGATTAGGTCATAGGTAAAGCCCTCATGAATTCCTTCTACTCTGTGAGAACACAACAACAAGTTTTCTGAAAGTATGGTCTTCATCAGGCACTAAATTGGCCAGCACGTTGATCTTGCAATTGCCAGCCTCCAGAACTGTGAGAAATACATTTCTGTTGTTTCTAAATCACTCACTTTATGATCATTGATTATAGTAGCCCAAGAGGACTAAGACAACATTATTGCGTATTTTTGATTGTGGAAAATTTCTTTAATTTGTTTTCCTTAGTAATTAGACAAGACAATCCTTGTTTTCCCTAAATTTACTGATTTAAGTTGCCTTAAAACTATCCAGAAGACCTCAGTTGGTTCTCATCCCAAATTTGAACCATAAAAAATTTTATCAAAAAATGATTGAGATTCTGAAAGTATGAAATGAAATCTGAATCAACACAACCCAATAAATATTTATAGACTCTAACCCTGCACCAGACATGTAGTGGTTGTATGACACAAACTTGAAAAGGGCATGGTTCCTGCTCCGTAATTTCCATTCTACTAGAAGAGTTAATGCATTACATTGTTTTGCAAAGTGCCCAAGAACATAGAGAATATAGCGGAATGTCAGGGAGAAAGTCAGAATTTTGTTTATACTCGTTTTTACCTTACAGCTAAATGTGATATTGGGCTTTAATTAAATGACATAACACATCCTTGCTTACAGTATATATGAGCAATCTATGAATGCACTTTGGAGATGAGCTCAGAAATGGCCATGATGGAGCTTTAGTGGTAAAATCAGTATGTGGTACTTATACAGAAAAGGCCATGAGCCAGCAAGTAGATATTTAAGGATAAATACGAAAATCTTGAAATGCCTTTGATTGACAATTAGACGACCTTCCTCAGGTCAGAGTATTACTTACCAACAACAGAAAACTATCAAGCCACGTGTAGATTTCATAGGACTCAATGGTCCCCAGCCAGGGCGCCTGGTATTTGGCGTGTACAGCAGTAAACCCAATGTCAGAGACCGCAGGATGTGACAGGGCAAAGGGGACACTGATCCACTGGAACAAAGAGCAACATTGGAGTTTTAGTCTATGATTTTAAACTTGATTAATATATTGCAAAATTGATACACCTAGTTTATTTTTCTTGTGCATGGCATGGCTCAGTACTTCCCCTATTCAAAGAAGAACATGAAACTATGTTCTCTGTGGGACATCATGGAATACAGATTTAGTCAACCTAAAATAACACATTATCTACTTCTGCTTGATTATGCCATATCATATAAACTATAGAAGCAGTCACCTGAAAACTTTGAGAAGAAAATACTACATTTAAGACATAACAGACACACACACACACATACACACACAGACACACTTTTATGTTTTGTGTGAATTAGGGAAAGATATCCACCCATTAAAGTGACATGGAAAGGTTTAAACGAGAAATTTGTTGGTAAAACAAGTGTTGAAGAATGGGCCCAATACTAATAGGTAAAAGAAAAAGAAATCAAAAGGGGAGACCATCTGGAGGAAGCAAAGCAAAGAGTGGAAGAAAACATATACTTCTGGACTTACCCTGGGGTCACACAACAACAAACATATCATAAGTTGAAAAAATTGCAAAGCTGCATTGAATCCACCCAACCTACCAAGCACCATAGCTTAGCCACATTGTGCACTGTGGAGTGTCAGTTGTTTCCCCATATGATTATGTGACTGACCAGGAGCAACGGCTATTGCCACTAGAGAAAAGACTGCGCTCGCTGTGTCTAGGTAGCTCAGGAAAAGATCCAAAATCAAAATTAAAATTGTGAAATTGTGGTTTTTAATGAACATGCTTCATTTTTGCACCATAATAAAGTAAAACAAAAACAAAACAAAAAAACAAGTTTCCAAGTTGAGCCATTGAAAGCAGAAGACTAACAGTATAAGTTTTATGTTTTGTGTATATGTGCATATGCCCACATCTGTTGGGTGACAAAGTTTGCTGGCATGGAAGTAGCTTAGGGGAATGGGAGCAATAAAGATAGACGTGGAGAGAACCTTGAATTGCAAGCCAAAATATTTATATTTTGCTTTGTATGCAAGTGGAAGCTCAAGGAATTTGCATGCATTTTATGTGGAACCAAGAATTTAAGCCAGGGGCCCAGCATGGTGTCTGCATGGCTGTAATACCAGAGGCTCAGGAGGCTGAGGCAAGAAGATTGCGAGTTCAAAGCCAGACTCAGCAACTTAGCAAGACACTAAGCATCTTAGTGAGATTGTCTCTAGATAAAATACCTTTGAAATAGGGCTGGGTATGTAGCTCAGTGGTTGAGTACTCACCCCTAGGTTCACCCTGGCACCCACCCCCCCAAAAAAGTTAATCTAAGGGTGCTCTACCTCTGAACTACATCTCCAACCCTGTTTTTTTTTTATTTTTTTTTTTAATTTTGAGACAGAGAGTCACACTAAATTGCTGAAGATGGCCTCAAATTTGCAAAGGTCCCACCTCACCCCTGGTCACTGGGATTGTAGACATGTGCCATGTGCCTGGCTAGAAGAATTTCTTTGGAGTTTTTTTTTTTTTTTAAAGTCAGTGAAATTTCCTCTAAATTTTAACACCATAAATATTAAAAATAAATTTAGAAGAATATAGTAGTATGGAAGGGCCATAGATGGTTTCAGTGGGCCCTGGATAAAGCAGTGACATTAGGAATGGAAAGATACTGGCACTGAACATGAAAATGAAGAGAGTCAACCGAGAAAGGTCAGAAGGAGGTCAACAGGGAGGTCAGAGGAATCTGAAAATGAAATCTGAAATTTATAACTTTGGAGCTGCCAGGGTGATGATAAAGTCCAAAGAATTAGAGAAACTGGAAAGAAAAGATGGTTTGAATTATAAGTTGATTAATTAATTACATATGCATGAACAGCAATTAAAGCTTATTTAGTCTTATTCAGCTAATTCAATAGTGATTTCTTAACAATTCTTATCTTCATTTCTTATCAATTTAGTTACATTTTGTAGTCAAAAAACATTCTAACATATATCCCTATATATATTTGACCTACCATCTTTACACCTGCTTACTTGATTTATGTACCTGTGTATTTTAAGTTCTGGCATCATGCAATGCAATGAGAAATCACATACATCACTGATGAATAGACTTATCCCCTGGGGCTGTGTCTCTTGGAATAACAAGTGCATCAGTTATGAGAGATGCCATTGCCAAACGAACCTCGCTTCCTACACAGTGAAACAAGATTTACTTCTGTTTTCTCTGTTTCATAAAGTTTATGATGATGTTAAGTACAAATCAGAATTTCTGCACTGTCAACTTGATTTTGGCAATTTAAAAATAAAAAAAAAGTTGAAGTTATTGAATAAATTAAATACTCTCAAATTCAATTAAAATATGACTGAATTACATTCCACGAAATGCAAATAAAATGTCTAGGAGAAAAAGAGGAAATATAATCTTTGCTAAGGTATATAAATTTAGGGTTAAACTGTAAATCTAATTTTAGTTAATTCTTTTAAATTTTCCTCTAGAATATTATTACAAATGCTAGAAAATTGAAAAAAATAGGAATGGGATTCATTCTTCATCTCTAAGTGTCTAGAATAAAAAGTAAAATAGAGCGAAAAGCTTTTTATTATAAGAAAAATAAAGAAAGCTGAGGAGAATGAAGAGTGCTTTGACTCTCTTTCAGAAAATGATTCGTCTTCAGCATTGGCTGACTCTGTCTATGGCCTTTGACCAGGGCTCTGTCCCTGCAGGGTCTGTAGCTGACATAATGTATGTGTTTGATGAGATCATGTATGTGAACCCACAGTGACACCTAGAAGAGTGGCCACACCATTTCCTTTATTTTTCTTTTGATATGTCTTATGTGATGGATATTATTATATGCATAATTATAATCTCCCTGTTTTAAGATGTGAGTTTGCAAAGAATCAACATTGACTAGAATGCATCTAAGATGTGCAGAGATGCTTTTAATATAAGACACATAGTATTTGTATTTCATAATTATACAGTACTCTTTCTTAATGCACCAAACCTATATTACCTAATTTAATCCATGACTTAAGAACAATAGATAATACAGATAATTCCTTATATAATTAAGCCCTTTCTTTGACCCCAGATATTAACCATTATAATTTGAAATCTATAGTTTTTCCAATGGGATATTTTTCTAACAAAATAAGTTTTCAATAGAATTTCCATGTCCTATGAAGAGTCTAATTGATAAACAGTCTCATAGATAAATGAACACAAGGACAGGAAAGAAACTTGTGTGGGTTACTATCAAAGTTTTAGTTTTCTTAACTGTGGAGAAAGTGTGATATCATCAGTTCTCAAAGGGTGTCACACATAAGTTTCCATCAAATCTAGCCATGAAGAAAACAAAGACCTAGATCTTTCTGAGAATTCGTCATAGCACACATTTTTCTGTCCACCTCTAAGGAAATAACTACAGTTTCCATCTAATCAATTCATAGAAAAATACAAAATTTCAAAAAGTGTACAACTTACTATGTATTACTCATTATGGAAAATATTAATTCCTTTGCTGAGTTGGTATAAAACACCACATTATCTTTTGTTAAGAAAGAGAAAGAGGAGGAGGGGGAAGACCAGGAGGCAAATCTGAGCAAGGCTCCACTTACCAGTCCTACAAAAATGCAAAAGAGTTGAACAACGTCTGTGTAGGCCACAGAGTAGAGACCACCCACCAGGGTGTACAGAGTGGCAATGAGGGCCGACACAATGACCGAAGCATGCACATCAACGTCAATGATCACGCTGATGGTAGCTCCTGTGGGGACAAAAGAAGAAGTGAGAGCACTGCCATGGTCTGGGGTGAGTTCTGGCAAGGCCACCCTGTGGGTTCTGTTACAGCAGCTATACTTCCCTGTGTCGTACACAGTGTACTGCATGACCTTGGCTAAAGTGAACTTTTACACTGAGACCTTTGTATGTTATCAAACGGACTATTATCTCTTTTTATATATATTCAAATACATGAGAGACACCCAAAACCTACTATCACTGAACACCCTGAACAACCGAGACATTCGATTCCATTCCATGAATTCACAATTTCACCCTCTGAAATTCTGACTTAATTATATGCAATATATTTACTCATATCCATAAGGAAAACAAGCCTTTCTGAGCAATTGGATCAGTCATTTCCAGTTTTACAATGATTATTCATTGGCTCTTTTGCATTTAGTTTGCCCTCCGCTTTCCTGTTATAGCTGGTGAACCCTCCGAGGTGCCAACAATTAAGACAAATTTGTAGAAGAAAATTTTATAATTGTTAAAACTTATCTTTCAACTTTTTCTCCCTCAAAGTCATAAAGGATCATTTTATTTTATTTTGCTGGTGGGACATACAAGTTCTACTCCTAAGATATCAATATAATGAAGAACACTAATGATGAATATCATATTTTTAGGCCATTTCCATCATCAAATTTTATATTCTTAGAATTCAAATTTATGTTTCTTTTACTTTACAAGCTGTTTATCATGTTTGTTGATGCCTATGTTTCCAGTAACAATTTAATGGTGTGGAAGGTTTGGCCCATTTCTTGGACTAATGGCTTCTTAACTCACTTGCTGCTTCATAACTCATTAATTGCTTTTCCATTTTTTTCAAAACTATCTTGTTTATATTTCATCTTATTATAAATGGCAATTCTAGGTATGCTAGCAGACATGAAAGAAATCTGATTTTTTTACACCATCAATTGTAGCCAGATGCCTCACAATCTCCTTCTTTTCCTCCTCCTCCTTAATTGGCATAACAATATTTACAATATACATGGATGAAAATCCATCATCCTAAAGAATAATTCAAAGTATTTTGACCCAAGATATCAATACAAAATATTTTTTGTGTGTATTTTGGCCATGATAATAATATAACATTATCCTCCTGGATAAAAAAATCAATTAAAAGAAACATCTACTAAGGAGTTGCAGAATAAAAGACAGAGGAGAGCAGTTAATTATTTACAAGTGACTTTGGGTAATTATCTGAGTTATAAGTGTATAGATATTGAAGAGGTTATTTCCCCCTGAAATCCTATTCTTGATAGTTGCCACTCTTTGCCATTCCTTTTTGGGTGTGGTTCTCCACTTTAATAACATGTATGTTATCACCCCATAATATGAGAGGTTCAATTATAGAAAAAAAATCACTGGACTGAGATTTGCAGTCCTATAGATGTCATCATTTGGTTGTAAGTTAGTGATCTGAGAGAAGTTACCTTCCTGTTTATTACTGTGAAGATTGGGTTAAGATTTTTATCTGAAAAATTATATCAATGGTAGTGAATAAAACAAAGTTATTCTAATAGATCTACTGAGAAATATAGTCTACTTATGTAGATATGAAAATAAATATACTGTGAATAAAGTTATAAAAAAAATCTCTGAATTTGAGCCATCTACAGTAGAAGTATACATTTAAAAGGTATAAGGTGTTGCCCATTTATACCAAACATAGTTGGTATAACTTTGCTCTCAGGTCAAGATAGCAAGCATGCCTGTCCTATCAGCATTAGGTCAGTAGCTGCGTAGTAATCAAAACTGGCACGAGATTTCTGCAGGATTCATGAAGCCAATTCAATAAACTGCAGGATTTATCAATGTGGGATGATATATCAGGATGAAGATGTCTTAGGAAGCCACAAGAAGGCTTCCTGAGAACCTTTATGATGACAGGGTGTTTCAGGTTAAGAGGGCAGTGAACTTGGCCATGAGACCTTGAATCTTGCCTCAAGAGCAAGGGACAAAATACAAGAAGGATAAATTCTACCTTGAACCAAATCCAAAAGAGGTTATTCAGGGGGAAGAAGAAAAAGAGAGACAGGGAAGAATAGGAAAATGTAGAATCACACAGTTGACATCTGTGAATGTAGTTGTCTTCAAAGTATTTTCATGAAATTGGTTGTATTTGAAATATACAATTTAAAAATTATTTGGTCTGCAGAAGCCTATCTTTACATAAGTGTTCATAGTAATCATTAAAAAAAGATTCTCCTATATTTCCGCAGTAAACCATGCATATGCACAGTGAGGTGATAATAAATCTTACACTTGTCTATTCTTAAGTATCCCAAGTTTTTTCTTATAAACACTAGCTCTGACTTACTCAAGCTATTATTTTTTGAAGAAAATATGGGTGATAATTTAAAAGTACATATTCTGCCACAACACAGATTTCAAGCAAAAGCAATAATATATATTATTTCATATATGCATGTGTTAACATGAAAAAGAAGAATGCTTTACTGAATATACTGAAATACATACACAGACACATATATCCAACAGAAACTAATTGTAATTAAGTTCTGAGTTTTGCCACTATGCTTTCTATTTCTAAAATACTTTGGAAATATTAGCTCATTAATTCTTTTCCTCTTTCAGGACTGTTATATAAATTGATCTTTATTCAGTTAGAGTGAACATGTTGTATTCTGTTAGATATTTAGCCCACTCCTTTTTTAATACCCAGCAGGTAGTTTGTTCTTAAAACCAAAATTTTCTAGTATTGAAACCAATGACAAATAAACTCCCATTGCTTCTCAGCTAATGAGAGCAAGGTGGGAAGAGAGGTGTATTTTTACACATAATTTAATTAGGGTATAAGCTTAGCAATGATTGGGGAGTGTTATTATCTTGCACCAGGGCAGTATGACATTTTCCCATGAGTTATTACTGTATATTATAACCATCAAATTCTCTTCTTTCCACATCAAGTAACTTTGTTTCTACAGAGACCAAGAAAATAATGTTAATGGGAGTTTGGGAGAAAGGGAGAAAAAGAAGGCCATATGAAATCATAATAATAAAAACTAGAAGATGGATTTATATTCTAGAACATACAAAATAGGAGGAAATTTATCTTTCTTTTGTTCTAACCCCTTAAAGTTTGGTGGTATTTCCATTTGTAAGAAAAGATGGGAAATTACATTTAGATGAATGTATGCCCAGAAGGCAAACACTGACATAGTCCATTGAAGAAAGCTGAGGACCTTCCAACTCTGCTGATCGTCAAGAAGGACCTCAGCACTCAGTGGGATGGTATACATTCGCTCTTGGTCACATGAGCCTGAAGATCTCCCTTGGTTCCTCTGAAATTTCTTGTTTTCTAGATCTCGCAAGGAAACTGAAAATCCAAAGGCCAAGTACAAGTTCTTAGCATTAGTTGATCTTGGGTTGTAAGTTAGACTCTACTGAGTCTAAACTCAGTATCTACCTCCCTAAATGTGTACACAACCCAATATTTTAAGACATAATGGAATTACACTGGGGAGGGGGGAAAAAGCAATATTCATCTTCTTTTGTCAAAAAAGTAGAGCTCAAAACTATTTATTAATTTATTATAGTTATTCAAGGGACACCATTCTTGCTCTAAAGAAATTTATAATCCATTGTGTACAGTAAAAAGTTGGGCATGAAGTGAACAGGCAAATTATCATACAAAGGGAGATGATAAGCCCAATGAGGAAAAATTGCAGGTGCCTACGAAAGCCTGCAGGGAAGGCTCCTAGCAAATCTGGAGTACTGCTCCCTGTAAGTGCCAGGGAGCTTGGTAATTAGGGAGGCAAATGGTGAGAGAGAGGGAAAAAAAAGAGGAGAAAGGAATCCAAAGCAGGGACACCTGTGCTTGCACAGTGTCAGTAAGAAGCAAGAGAAAACCACAATTCAGACAGAAGATAAAGGGCAAGTGGGGTGCAGGGGATAATCAGAGGAGAGAAGACCCAGGTCATAGTTAAGGGCCCTGTTCAAAAGTTTGGTTTTAAGCAAGAAAGGGGACATGATGAGATTAGAATATGAGGTTAGAATTTAGAAGGATGAGTCTGGCTGCCATGTGGCGCCCACAGTAGGGCAGACCTGCAAACATGGAGTTGGCTGCATTAATACAGGTAAGGGAGGCTGGGAGTGGCCTGGCTTATGGCAGGGAAGAGGCAGAGGTGGATGGAGGTAGGGGTGGGGGCGGGGTGGTTGATGGAGGAACCAGGTAGGAGTGCAAGCAATTAAGGATGGGTCTTAGAGCTGAGATGTATAGCCTGCAGGATGAAGGTAGGTCTGCAGCAGGTGAGGTTCGTGTACCTTAATGTGGGCACTACATCTCCTAGCTGCTTCAGCAGCCTCAGTCTCTCAATCATAACGGGCCCAGTTAGTTCCCCTGTAGGTTTTTGAAGGTGAAGAGGAAGTCAGGGGTGGGGAAACTTTTCATTATTCATCAAGAAGACATTTAACCTGGCAGGGAAGTCCAAGCTACATTCTACCACACTTAAATTTTTCCACTAATAAACCATAGCATTGTGCTTTTTACAAATATCATTTTATTGAAATATCTCAAGTTAGGTGATTGTGCTTACATTACTTGTCATCATGAGAAGGTGGGGAATATTTCTTTGGGAGTATTATTTACAGTTGAGACTCACACTGGTTTTATATTTGTTTTTGATTAAGTATATTTTATGCAAAAAGTCAATATCTCTAGAAATATTAATGCTTTAAAAATGATGTGGTACTATTCTTTGAGGAATTTAAATAGACCATGCCTATGCTTTATATCAATTAACAAGGCAGTTATCAGAAGAAAAAAACCAGGAAAGATTAAAAAGTTCTCAGTTCACATAAATGAGACTTCTAGAAAAAAAATGAAAATGGAATTCACTGATTCAAATTCATTCACCAAAAGTATCAAAAATATTCTCCCTAAACCTGGCTCATGGACAGTAGTTTTTTGTTTGTTTGTTTTTTTCTTTTGTACCACTTAACCACTGAGACCTATTCCCAATGCCCCCTGCCCTTTTTTAAAATTTTTTTATTTTGCAACAGAATCTTACTAACTTACATAGGGCCTTGATAAATTGCTGAAGCTGGCTTTTAACTTGCATTCCTCCTGCCTCATCCTCCCAAGCCACTGGGAGTATAGGCAGGCACCACTGCACCCAGTAAATATTCTTTTAGATAAATTGCATTTTTGTTTCTGGTGGTGCTAGGACTTGAACTCAGGGCTTCACACATGCTGTGCAAGCACTCTACCACTGGGCTACACCCTCAACCCTAAATAGCACTCTTAGTTTTGCTTAATTAATGATGTTTTGTTCAAAATCATATACAACTTACAAAAGCAACCCTGAATCCCTATAAAGTAACTCATGGCTATTGCTCTAATTATGTAATTCAAGTTAAAAACAAATGCACTTGAGATTGGACTTATTCTCTACAACAATACTGCAAGTAAATGTAGAATTTCAGTTAAGTTTTTGTAAATATAAATATGACTTAGGATATGGTTTTAATAATTTCTAAGACACTAAGACTGAAGAAAGTAAAGTTGTTGGTCTGGTGTTCAGGAAACTGGAAATGAAGGTAGAACAATGTTCCATTGGTGCTTACCTAGTGCAGAGAAAATTGCTGCAGCCCAGAACATTTCTCCCATTAGCGCAGGGATGAATAGGAGTCCACCCATGCGCTTTCCATAGATCTGCTGAAATGGGTCTAGCATGGTCACATATCCCTTGGAACGCATGGGTTTTGCAAAGAACAGACCACCTAAAAAAATTACGTGAGTGTTTATGAGAACATTAAAAATTCATAATATAATAGTCTTTGCCAGCTTTTTACTATGCTATAATTTCTTAAGGGAAATGAATTTTTTAAAACACTGTACATATTGAGGAACTAGTCTGAAATATACTCTGAGTACATTACCAAGAAGCATTCAGCAACCTAATATAAACTCCTTAGTGCATTTAACAGATGTATCCAATGGACAACAAAATGTTATAATTGAGGCATATGAAATTTAAATATATGGAGTAGGATAGTGTTCACTGAGATGGCTTGGTGCATTTGTATCACTCAGTACATTTAAACATTTGAAAAAGCACAAGGTCCAACAGAACAATTTGAGGGGGAAAACTAAGAAAGAAAATAAAAGAGGAACCATTTTATATAATATTCTTGGCCTTTTATAAGTTTAATTTACAAAAAAATGTCAGGTACAATAAAGTTGATTCATTTTTAATGATATGTCCATAATATTTTTGAAAGAATAAAATATGATTATGCTAAGAAATTCACTGGTTTAAAAGTTATAAGATCAAAGGTTTTTTTTTTTTTTGTTATTTACATGTTCCATAATCAAGAGATTACCTAAGCATTATTATTCTGTTGCATATCAATTTCTTGTAACACCTACTTAGAACTATCTGGTGACATTTTTCCACAATAGTTATTCACACTGTTTGATTTGCTAACCCACTTGTTATTTAGACTTTTATTCTTTAGGCTTTACTGAATGAGTCAAGGAGATTTAACTTTCCACTTACCTAAAACCAGACTAAGTGAATATCCAATTGGTGCCTGAGCCCAAGCTAGACCATAATCTGGTACATAAACTGCTTCAGCTGTCCCATTGATATACCCTCCTCCAACCCACGTGGCTGAAATAGAATGAAGAGAGAGGTCATGACATATGACATTATCTTACATGTCATATTCTAGGTCTGATTGTCCAACACCAGGCGACTAGTCCCATGGGGTCATTCAATGTGGCTACTCCAAACTGAGGAATTCTGTGACCATATGTTTTCTTCAGATATATGAAATTTCTATAGAATAATAGCTGAAAGAGGGAGGTCAAGGAACCAAAGGTCATTTTTTGTTAAAATGAGTTTGGGCCAATCATGATCTACAAACTACTGCTTTCCTTAAAAAAGATAATCAAGTATTTGATCCTTGTTGAAAAACTGAGGTTAAAGGGACTCTACATTCCTGCAGCTTATATTCTTCAAAAATACAGTCAAAATATTCAAAATGCTATTTATGTAAAATGTATATAAAGTTCTGAGTGTCAAAGGCTGTTAAAAAAGCTTATCAGATATGACACTGAATTTTAGGCTGAATCATCACATAGAGAATAAAATTTGACTTTAAGGAATTTTCTAAACTCTCATAGAGTATAAGTAAAATAATTACGTGTATTTGATACATAAGTATTTGACAGATAAGTGCTTCTGTTGCTTTCATGCCAGAATTTATCTGGCTTTTAATCTAACACAAAGCAAAGAAGAGATTGTGTCTTGGGGTTAAATTGCTTTTTAAAAGATTAATATGAAAAGACTTTCCTGCAGAGTAATTTTAAGTACATTAAATGGAAAGTTTATATACAAAATCTTGATGTGGACAAGATTTGTATTTAGCAAACACTCCCATCTTCAGAGTAGCTTTTACATCTGGTGTTAATAAGTAGCAAACACCATCATTTGCTTTTCTCATTCTAAATCCTGCTGAAATTGTAGAAAGAGTCTCCACTTGATACACATACACACTGAGTATAGAAAAAGGACAGAAGAAAGAATTCTCACAGACACAGAACCTGAGACTTGGTCTTCCTGCTAGGTACCTGGAGCTGCTAACACACCAGCACTATTTTGCTGCATAAAATTAATAAGCGGATGGTCTTACAAACACAAAGCTAATTCATGGTTGTTTTTTTATTGTGTAGCTCTCCTGTCCTTTGTCCAAAACAAAAAAAAAATGGTGTTGAACAATTGTCCCTATTAATAATATAGAAGTGAAGACTCCATTACTTACTATGCTTAAACTAATTCCCTTCATTTTTTATCAATCTTGTCTTTTCTATGCTATAATTTATTGTCCATGCCTGTATATTTTATATTAAATTCATGAGTGAGGACTTGAACATTTTAAAACTGTCTGATTTTTAAAGAATCAACATTTTTTGAAATATATAAGTAAATGAAATATATATAAGTAAATGAATCTGATAAGGTTTAAATAACATGGTTCGGATTTTAAGTGAATGATAATATTAATTAAGGATCTTCTGACACAATGAAAGCGAGAGAGAGAGAGAGAGAGAACTTCACAAACCAAGCTAGACCATGACACTTCATAAGAAATACTGTTATTCTAATATATTCTATATAGTTTCATAAAGTATTACAGTGAAAAAATAAATCTATATGGTAAAGGAACAAATCCTGAAATTTCTTTATGACCATATTAAACAGAATATTAAACTAGAGTAAGAGGACAATATTATTATTATTATTGCAAATAACAATTTGCAATGAGTAAAACACTTTGATATACAGCAGTTCATGTATTACTTTAGTGGGATTTGCAAAATAAGCAGCTTTATAAAGAAATAGAGTGAGCCCAGTTAATGAGCTTATGTGGTATAGTACCAAGGGCCTGGGGCGTGGCCATCAGAAGACCTGGGTTTGGGCCTGGCCCTGGTCCTGGTTAACAATGTAACCTGGATCTTCACTTAACCCCACAGCCCTTTCACAAGGCTATTACAAACAACAAATGAATCCATCTATAGTTGGTGAAGAGTTAAACAAAGAGACTGTAAATGCCTGGAAGGTAAAATCTAGTGTGTATATAGAACATTGCAGATTACAAATGGACAAAGTCAAGACTTTCAGAACGTAGATGCTATTTTTACAGTGCTTTGGTAAACTATTTGGTATACAGGGTGAATCATTTTAAATTGCACTTCAGGATTGAACCTGGACATCATTCAGATATGATTTCCAATGGGTTATTTTTCTAATGAGAACTGAGAGTTCCTGTTAATATAGATTATATTGCTAGTGTTTAAATGTTTACCAAGACTCACATAAGATGTGTTATCAGTGAAAGTGTAATTTTAAGTTGTTGTTTTTCAGAATTATTTTCAATGACTAAGATGACTATAAAAAAGAAAGAAATTGACCCACATACAAAACCACCTCTGGGCAAAGCAAAGACAGACAGAATACCAGCCCCTCCTAATACAAAGAAGGCTTGAAAGGGAGAGAGAGCTACAGATAGTGGCTAGGGGATTCCAGAAAGGACACACCCTGGCTTTTCCCCTTTTTATCAAGTTTCCTGGAAATCCCTTTTTCATTGTTGTGGAGTCATAATATCGTCTTCCTGTAAGGAAATTAATTACTAAATAGGAAAATTAGGTTTCCAAGCAAGGGATCAATCAGTTTGCGATTGTATTGCCTCCAAATGGATTTATTTAGGCTAAAACCCATCACTAGTTAGTATTCACTGACATTTGTCACTTAAGATAACTCAAAGTCACAACTTCATGCATGCATTACTAGACACACTGAAACACTATCATATTAATTTACAAATGCATGACTTGTAAGACTAGGGCATGTTTTCATTCCTCCACTTCTTTGTCTATACTGTTTCCACCCACTAAATAGAACAGAAAGCCGAGACTTTTTTCGTTGGTATTAGATTCATTGATTTATTATAAAATCATTTATGCAAGAACTAATGAGTTGAAACCATTTTGTTTTCAAGCAGATATTCATTATTTTCAAAATATATAACCAGCAAACCTAAAGAATCCCCAAAGGACAAAGAGCAATGTTTGCAATGACACTCTGAGACCACATGCTGTATATTCAGAGAAGCCAAGCAAGGGTGAACTGCACCAAGCAAGCAGCACTGGAACCTACCTGTCATGGTAAATCCACCAACTAACAAGCCAATGTCTCGCCCACCAACTATTATGGCTTCACTGCGTTCTTCTGCGCTGCCACTGTTTTTGGTTCTCCATGCAGCCCATATTCCAACCAGCAAAATGAGAAGGTAGAATATGATGATAGCTATCAGTCCTTCCACGTGGAAAGCCATTTTTAACTAAGGGTCCAGATTCTTCCACAGTTGGCTACTTCATTAAGACTTGTGGAGAAAATACAGTAATGCATTAAGAAATAGCAGCCTAGCACTGTGCCTACACAGGCAGCCAGGATAAGCCAGCTGGCTCCTGGGCGAACCTGTGCCACTTAAAGAAAGAGTACACTGAAGTCACGTGTGAAATTGGCCATGGCCAACAAGTGTCCACTATATTATCCTACCTCTATTTAACAGTTTAAGGATGTCCTGACTTTTCAAGAAACAAAAATAAATAAATAAATAAGGAAATATTGCTTAACAAATAGAACCATAAACACTTTGTTTCATAATTTTTTTTTCAATTTAACATTCACCTTGAATCTTAACTCAGTAATTCTGTCAAGAAATCATTTCCAAAAATTGTGATTGCATTTGCCTTTTAAAGCTAAGTTACTATACTAGAATTATTAGTATCATTAGTGTATCATCAAGCAATATACCAAGAATTTTTTAAAATGTGTTCATTCTTCTACTAGTTCTTTGAAAAGATTTCAGGAAATGCCTCCAAAAGTACTCTGACATGGGGAGGGGCAAGGGACAAACTTTAGGAAAATCTATTTAAAAATGCTTCAGCTCCACATTTTCAACAAGTTCCTATGGGTCAATTTATTGTGTCAACTAAATATGTACTTGTTGTTTAAAGGGTTCCGCCTCTTTACCTTCCATTGTTCTTCCTTCATTTCACACATCCCCATTAGTGGTATCTATAAGAAAACGATTTAAAAATGTGTTGCCTAAAATCATAGCAGAGGGTCAAGGGTATTAAAACGCAAAACTCTTAAAAGACAGATGTCAAGTGCTAAAGCCTTAGCGGTCTGGCATTCTTGTTCTCTTATTTTGTTAGTCTCATAGCCAGGGCTATTACATGCACCCGATTCGCACACAGAAGTTTCTGGTGGAAACTCAGATATTTGTGCACACAAGTGGCAGGTGGGTGATGAGACCTGGGGCAAAACTACTAACCTCCCTGCAATCCAAAGGTGGCAAAAGAAGCACCGCGGACCGGGTGGGCTGCGCCATTGTGAGCAACCCAGTGGGCAAGTTCTTTCTCCAGCTGCCGTTTGGAGCTCCCCTGGCCCCTCTCTCCTTTCTGGACCCCTCTGCCGGTATCTTGCACCCAGACTCAGCAGCTCGCACCTGGAGAGCCACAAGTGCCTGAGAGCGGAGCTGCCCTGGCATCTCCACCGAGAGGCCAAAGAGCCACCTCCCTTCGCTCTAAAACTGCGGGAGCCGCGCTCGCAGAGTCCCAGAGGGAGCAGCCCAGAGGCTCCAGGGAGGGAGGCTGGCTGCGTTCCTACCTGGAGCTATCGCGGCGCCGGGAAGCGCTCCGCCGCCGCCGCCGCTCTCCAGCCGCCGCCCCAGAGCTGTGCGGGCTGTGTGTGCGGGGTGCAGTGAGGACGGGAGGGACCGGTCGGGGTGCCTGCTGCGGGGGCAGGGCCAGGCGACCGGGGTCAGTGGTGGAGGCTGTCCATCACCTCGCGTCTCCAGGACCCTGGAAGCGCGCAGAGTTGACAGGTGCGGGAGCCGTTGGAGGGCGCGCAGCGCAGCGAGGTGGTGATCAATTCAAGTATTGGGAAAAGTCCCCTTTATAAGGGCGGCAGGCGGGGGCGATCTCAGATCTCAGAGGCGGACGTCAGAGGAAAGTGGTGCTGGGGCGTGTGCTGGGGACTGTGCCCTCGCGCTTGATGGGGGTGCGAAGGGGACTGGGGCCCCAGGGGCGGGGACCAAGCCTGGATTCCGGGCCACCAGGGTTGGCTGTGGTCTCCCTACCTCCAAGGCAAGTCACTGCCACTGCCCAAGAAAAGAGAGTGTAATTCCCTAAGGTCCTTCCTGATCTAACTTCCCCAGAGGTGACCTGAAGCTAAGCACTGAGACACGGAAAGAGGATCAGAGAGGAGGCTCATATTCTGGGCTTCCCAGACCCCCAGTAGCCAGGAGCTATTTCCTGAGGCTTCTCTATGAAGGCCAATCCCCTCACTGCGCTCTACACCTACCCCACATCCCGCACACACACACACACACACACACACACAGCCCTATTTCTGGTGGGCCTCTGTGGAGGCTGATCACAACATTCCTTCTGATGGAGTCCCTAAGTAGACACTTCAGAAAGATTTGGGAAGTGGTCCTTTTTTTTTTTTTTTAAACATTCATACCCCTTCTCTTAAAAATAAGGTTACAATGAAAAACTCTAGGAGTTATTGATAAATAGAAAATTAGCCCACAAGCTGGACAGGATATCTCTCCTTACAGAGCCAGCTATGTGCTTGCCTGCTAAAACATCCTGTTTACTGTATTACTTTACATATATAAGAATATATGTATACATATACATACATACATACCTAGACATATAAATACATCTATAGATATGCATTTATATTGATGAATATGTAACTAGTCTAGGTAAAAAACACAGATGCAGGTATATATGTGTATACGTGTGTGTAAAATATATATTTTACATATGTGTATATGAGTGTAAAATATATATATGTGTGTAAAATATATATATATATTTATATATGTGTGTATGTGTGTGTAAAATATATATATATTTATATATGTGTGTATGTGTGTGTAATATATATATATATATATATATATTTTTTTTTTTTTTTTTTTTTAAGGAAAAAGGGTATGGAAGAGAGAGTAGTATAAAAGAGCCACAAGCCACAAAGTTACAATCCCTGGGGCCAATTTCTCACTTCTTTCCATATTCCACTATGGCAGTTTATTAAAGAGTGAAATGTGCACATTAAATAACTGATAGAATGAGTAAGAATACATCTTGGCTATTGTCCACCTTCCTCTAGGCTAAATTTCAGACTAATCTTCCATGGTTTTACACTGGATTTAGAAATGATCTTTCAAATTTATGTAATTATCTTTTTCCTTTGTTCTCTGTATAAATGATCACTGCATCTAGCAGCCTTCTTTTAGTTCAGTGAGTTTAAAACAGGGCAGAAGGCCTGCATGGACAGTGATATCAACTGGATTTTGTGATTAGCTAAATGCTTTTCTGGAAGACTTAGCCTTTCAAGATAATCCCATTTGTATACAGGAAGGGCAAAAAATTTAAGATATTTTAAAGATCTAACAAAGGGAAGACAGAGATGGAATATCACATAATTACTCACATATTTTAAAATAGACTAATTTATTCATTCATTGTTTTGTTTTTAACAGTTATAATCAATTTCTGATTCTGGACTTTGGCCATGTGTTTGTTTATATTGTTCCTTCCAGAATGTACTGAAAGATGATGATGACACAAAGCTTACAGTTATAGCAGGACAGGCTTGGGCAATTGCACAGCTTGAAATAGAGCATGGAGCTAAGGTCAGGGAGTATGACTCAGGTGCAAAGAGGGACTGAAGAGGTAGGCGCCTGTCCTCAGAGAACATCATCAGGCATTTAGGTATGAGAATCCAGAGTGCAGCCAGTGCTCACGCTCTAGGGAAGGGAGGGAAGGGGGGACCTAATCCACTTTGAGAAGCTGGGCATGCCAGACTCTAGACTCAGTGCCAAATCTGAATAGGGACAGTGACCTTGAACATGGCCAAAAAAAATCTGGCCTGGCAGAGCCGCTGTCCTTCATGATAAAAAACACCAATTGAAAATGACAACTTCTGATGTATTGAGTCTAGTTCTGGGGAGACATTTCCTCATCTGCCCAGTCCTGTGAGCTCCTGTGTCTGATACACAGATGATCCTGCATGTGCATTTATGTCCTAGGGTGTCCCCTCCCAGACACCTTTTTTTCTTGTCTTGAACATGCACCTCTTTCTCTACTACTCTCCTGAGGATATGTAATCATGATAGTAGTTAGGGAAATAGAAGTCAGTAGGAGATCAATTCCAGTCTTAGGGGATAAATAGCAGGTTCTTGCATTTACAAATCATTTATTTACGCTCATTTCCTAAGTGCCTTTTATGTTCCAAGCACTGATCTAAGTACTGAGAATACATGTAGAAAGTGATATATAGCCTTTGCCCTGAGCAACTTATCATCCTTGAAAAGAAAGAAGAAACAAGCAGAAGCTTCATTTCAATATACTATTATAAATTCTGTTTTAGGGGAAGCAGAGACAATAGGTCTTAATTAAACTGAGCTATTCTTCCTGGAGGAGGAAAATATTTGCTCATTCAGCAAACATATGGGAGGACTGACTATGTATCAAGAATCATAATAGGAACTGGGTATATATACACATAAGATTCCTGTCCTTAGTGAGCTTAAAGTCTATGATCTTGCTACACCACATCAAATCTGTTGCAGCATCAGCAACAATTTTCTTCCCAAACATTGGTCATAACTTGAAGATGGTCATAACTTAGTGTATACATTTTCAAAATGTATTTTGAAAATAACTTCAATATAAATCAAAATACATACAGTTTTGAGGACCCACTTTTCCTTAAGTCACTTACCCTTCATAGTGTCCAAGTTTCCCCATACAATTTTAACTTGAATCTTGTATAATTTTGAATCAGTTATGTTCTACTTCAATTATAATTGGTTGGTTATTTTTCAAACTGGGGAGATCATTGGTATTATACCATGCTTTCAAAATTACAGATCTTGAGGCCCTACAGAATTTTACAGAATTCTGATTAATCTCAAGAAAACATTTGGGAATCTGTTTTTCCTTCAAAATTTCCCAATGATGATAGCTGGTTTGGGGGGATTCTACTGCATTTCAGAGTAGAAAGAACTTTTAAGTCAAAGCAGAGTAATTTTAGCTCATAGTGATTAGTTATGGAATCTTCTCCCAAATATTCTGTCTTCTTTTTGTTTTTAAATTTTTTAATTGTAGATGGACACAATATCTTTATTTATTCATTTATTTATTCTTATGTGTTGCTAAGGATCAAACCCATGCAAGTAAAACTAACATGTGCAAGGCTCTATCACTGAGCTACAACCCCAGCCCCGATATTCTGTCTTCTTTAAGCTATACTTTTCTTATCTGTAAAGTAGAAATAAAAAAATGTACAAGG